AATAATTTTGTACAAGTAGACTTTTTCTTTTTATGTAGAATATATTTTGAAATAATAGATTGGTAGATAATGTGTTGTTAAAAAATAAGGAAAATTTTTGAATTTGAACATAATATTATTTTTATTGAAAAATATATAGTTAAAAAGAAGAAAAATAAAAATGTATTTTGAAAAAAATGGAATCAAACAAGTTAGAAATTATGTATATATTTTTTAAACAATATAAAGAGCATGTCTGGCTAAGTTTAAAATTCAATTAAAATTAAAAATATAGCCGTTATTAAGTCTCACTCATCTAATAAAAGTCAACAATAACGACTAATTTTTCAATTTTAATTCGATTTTAATCTCTACTGAACACGTACAAAATAATTTTATGACTGTGTCATAAACACGTATTTACAATCAAGAAAATTACACCAACCTAACAAAATTTTTATTCGATCGGCCAATTTACAATCATTCAAGTTTTCTTTAACTATTATAAACTATAGAGAATAAAAGAGAGAAGCCGGTAAATTTTTGTCTTTTTATTAAGAACCAAAACCTTATATTTATAGAAAATGATTAGGGATATAATAAAAACAATTTCTAGGGTTGTGGGGGTATACTTGTCATTCACTAATAAACTTACCACTACAACATTCCCCATTAAATGACATGTTACAAAATATATGTTCCCTTAAAACCTTGTTAAGAAAACCTAATGAGATAAAATTTGATCGAAGAAAAAATAGTACAATTGATTCCCCCTAATTTCAATCATTGTATCAGTTCATCATTATCTTGTACGTCAATGTATTTGATATTACAATTCTGGTGAAATATGTTTTCATGTTGTCTTGTTATATTTTTCAAAAAATACCGTCTTTATACAAGATATATATCAACATTTGATAACTGTAGTAACATGATGATTCAAAAAATAGCTCTTGTTGATCTATTCGTGAATCTCATACATATAACAGTATTATTTTGTGGATAAATATCTTTTAGACTATAGACATCCATTACACAAAGAATATGTCTAATTAAAACATTATTAGACAAAATCTCGTGGAAAAAAATCATAATAAAGGAGAAGAGTGCATTATTCTTTTAAGTATGCTATAAATGATGTCTCCCTAAAAACCTTATTGGGTAAACACAATGAGACAAACTCGGTCAACAGAAAAATAGTATAACGCGTATGTACGCTCTCTCGGGATAATATCGCTTGAATTATGTTTCAGGTATACTAAATCCTTCCAGGATAGTATTAAGATCATACAAGATAAATAGTCTATAAATCACATTTAGGATTAATCTAGTTGTACATAACCCCCTACATAATGGTTCACATAACGGTGACGTGGCAATCATTCACTTATTGATGTGTAAGTGTGAAAGTTGAATTAAAGGCAGGATCACATGCCACGTGTAATTATGTGAACCATTATGTGAATGGTTAGGTACATATAGCATTACCCTCACATTTATTATATGCACATCAAATTTCATGTATTGTCATACTAATAAAATAGAGACTTGTAATTACATCAATCGAACAATAATTTATCTATTTATACGAGTTTTTGTAAAATTCATTATGCAGAGAATGAAAAGTAATGAAAAGTTTTAGATTTGTGTGTAATATTATTTTATTTGAAGAATGTATGGTTAAAATGAAGAAAGAAAAAAAAAAGAGAATGAGAATGTGTGTCAAACAGTGCCATAGTGAGTTCAATAATATGATCAAGTCATTTTTATTTGACCAATCATTACTTAGATCAATATGTTTCGTAGAATTTATTTTGATTCCTCGTCATTCTTAATATGGTGCAGTATATTAGGTGCAAAAGTATTGTCGAAGGCTTTTTTGTTTTTGTTTTTTTGGATTCTATTTCTTTTCCCATAATGACATAACTTATTTTGCTAGCTCAATTTTCATTATTTCAAGCGTCTAAACCTCTTATGGAGTTTTATAATTGTTATATTTAAATACTCATCAAGAGTATGTGCCTTCTTAATGAGATCATCTTTGTCAATTACTCTATTTTAGTTTGGAGATTTTTTTTATATAAGAATCAAATACCATCGCATTTCAGGCGTGTCATAGATATATCAAACATAATGTTAACGAATTGTCCTCCTATAACATCAATTAGTGTTGTTGTATTTAAAACTAGTGCATGGGAAATAGTTGATCTATTTGTTCAGTAAACGTATCTAAATAAATTATATTTCAAACTTCTGGTTCTAACCATCCTTTGCAAGGATAATGATGCATTTGTACTTTATTTCTAACTTCTTAATTTCCCTATGTTGTTGAGAAAGTCGTTCAATCAAAATGACAATCAGCAAACTGCGTTATAAAATATCACTCATTTGAGATAAAGATTCAAACTACTCATTTTGTTTTAGCATTAGTTACTTTCCATCTCAATGCATTGTGGTGAATTAATTTTACACATACTACGCTAAAAAAATAATTAGATAGAAAAATTAGGCTTTGACCTTAAGCCATTATAATAGGGAGAACTGTGATGTTAACATGATACGTAATAACATTCTCTAAACAAAAGTGAGAAGTACTTTGCTATCAACAAAATTAATTGGAGGTCTTTAACAAACAATAATGTTAAACTATTTGTCGACATCTAAGCTAACACTTATTAAAAGATTCAGATTTAGGCTCACTATTATTAACAAGACATCCCCAAATCCCGTATTGATTATATAATATGAAAATTATGCTCACAATTTGAGCAGTAATTTCGTAAACTTCAGGTTGCAAAAATCATGCAATTATCTAATATATGTATTAAATCTATTAAATACAAATAATATTTAGATGGTTAACGTGATGGGTGATAGAGCTCCATTTATCACCCTAATCATTTTTCAAAAATATAGGGAATTCAGTCCATATTTAGCTGCTATGACCTATTTTCGTGAAAGAGAACAAACATCATATATGATTTATTGGATTGAGGAATCTTCGAGTTCTTTATTGAATATCTATATGAATTTAATTTCACGTCATTATTGATTCAGTGATGGTCCGATTGATGATAGCAAACAATAAAGTCAATTTGAACTTTTGGTTCAACATAAGATATAATTCAATTATTTAATTTTGAAGAACATGATTAAACATTATATAATCATACATCATTCAAGTAGTCAATCTAATCAATATCCTCATGACGTTAGTTATAAATTTTTCTTCAGGGATAAACATGAATTTAAAATACTACATTTTTCGAAACATGTGCTATTTCTAGAGTACGTTGTCTTTTATCATTGCTTCTTCGAGAGCGATATATCAACATTCTTTAGAATATTGAATATTATAATTTGTGCTATTCAGGAGTAAGTAATATAATTTATGTTAAATTTTATTTAATTATGCTTTTCGAAGACATATAAAATCTAACTAGAATATAAATACAAAAATACGTATGCAGAAGAATGGCTACGTCAAGAAATAGATTGACTTAATTCATTTTTTAATGAGAAATCGATTAATATTCTTCTAAAATATTGAAATTGTAATATCATGATCTTTTAGAGCAATTAATATTATTTTAGAATATTATCAATGTAGTGCGACTTCAGGAGTAACAACATATTTGTAGTAAACGGATCTACGAGTAATCTTCTGGAATGTTAAGTACAATATTGTGCTATTTTGGGCGTAACAACATAATATATTATCAATTTAAAGTTATAAAAGAGCATTTAAAAATATTAATTACCATACAGATAGAATATGAATTTATATAAATAAAGATTAATTACCAAACAAACATGATATGCAAACAGGCCAAAGCACGAAAAATAATCAGTATGCACAACAAAGATTTAGTGAAATTCTGCAAAAGAAACTCTTTTAAGGCAATTAATTAACTAATTCACATGGAATGGAATTGACCGAAGCATTGGCAGTGGATGGACAAAGTAATTGACTAGAGCATTACGCAAAAGAAATCCTGTGGCAGTGAATGTACAAAGCATTATGGAGTGAATGGACTAAATTCATATTGAATTGGATGACCGCAGTGGTGGCTTTCGACATTATTAATTACGATAGAACTTTGCTCTTCTCGTCAATGTTTATGGACGGCTCGGCTCGGCTCGACTATAAGTTCACGAGCTCGACAAATTCACTTTGACGAGCTGAGCTCGTGGGCAGATGGCCTTGCCACCACTAGGTGCACACAAATTGATTTCGGCAAAGGCTGCAAAGCAGCAGTAGCCTTGAATTATAATACATATGTATATAAAAAAATTCACACGTCACCAAATTGATTTTGGTACATGTGATATATAATTATGTTCATAAAAATCATTACCTTCTAACTAATTCAAGATATTTGTGCTGATAACGTGTTATAATTTAGAGAGAATAAAAGAGAGAAGCATAAATTTGAGTGTTTTAATAAGGATCAATACCACATATTTATAATGAATGATTAGGGATATAATGAAAATAATGGGTTGCAGAGAAAAGGATCAGAGATACAATGAGAATAATTTATAAGGTTGTAGAAGTACAATTGTCATTCACTAATAAATTAATAATTTACAATATTAACTTCAATTTCAAAGAAAAGAGAGAAAACATTAACCATTTCGTCCACATCAAATTAAAATTGTAATTACCCAAATTTCTCTAAATATACTTGTTTCCTAAAATAAAAGGGGTAACATTTTCCAAAATAAGGAATTAAGCTGGTTTGCCAGAATTTTTTTGCCACATTAGTTGACGTATACTCATGTGGATGCGGGATCCATGTGAATAAAAAATCCAAAAAAATGCACCCCTATTTGTGAGTTTCAACTCTCAATGGCAGCATGGCAAGATTGTAAAATAAATGCAAGTCTCCCAAATAACAAGGTCCTAAGAAGGGTGCATCAAAATCCAGAGCTAGAACCGACTAGACCCAAAATTAAAAAGCGCAAGGGTTTAAAGCGCGACACTGGTTAGAATTATCGAAGACTGAAACCCAGTGGCAATGGAGGAGACGATACCCTTCAAAAATCTCTACAGCAGAGAATACCAAGGTCACAAGAAGAAGGTACATCTCCTAAACCCTAACTTTTATTTGCCTCTTTTCGCCCCCATTTTGGTTTCCCCATCCATTTTGGTTTCGGATACCCCGTTTGACAATAAGTAATGAATAAAGGTGCATTCGGTGGCATGGAATTGCACGGGCACGAAACTGGCATCCGGTTCAGTCGATCAAACTGCTCGCATTTGGTATATTGAACCTCATGGTCACGTAAGCTTCGTCGATTTATTCACTTCCAAATTCGCCTCTTTGTTTGTGCCAGTTTAAAGATTAAAATTATTTCAGAAACACGCGTCTTCGAACTATTATGCCTAACAGAATTGAGTTTCGAAGACAAGAAATAGGATTTCACAATTATTATTGTTGGATGTCGTATTTTAGGAAAGCAGCTTACATATATTGCACATTGGTGGAATTAAACTTTAAACCTGCACACGGCTAAATTATCATTTCACAATCTAATATCGACCTATTGTTAACGTGCCTTTTTTTTTCATTTTTTTGTGTGTAATTTGAAATGAAGTCTATCATATTCAATACCAGCACTATCTAGTTTCATACTCTTTTCATCATGCATTTGTTGCAGAGGGCTTCTATGATTCTTGAGTTGATGCCGGCTCTATTTTCCAGCTATTGTTAGTTTTAGCCAGCATGTTGTTTAATTTCCTTATGCAGGGTAAGGTTAAAGACATCGAGCTAAAAGGGCATAGTGATAGTGTTGATCAGTTGTGTTGGGATCCAAAACACGCCGATTTGATTGCAACTGCATCGGGTGACAAGACAGTTCGATTATGGGATGCTCGCAGTAAGTAATCTATTTAGTTAAGATGGGTAAAACACCAGTTGGGATGAAAGATTATCGAAAGACTTGACTTTCTTATTTATTTTTGAATGAAGAGTTCTTTTTACATAGGTATTTCTCCAGAAAAACCTGGTCTTTGGATTGAAAGTATGATGCATTTGGCTTCCCCTGTAGTTACCGGATGGGGTTCGAGTGTAAAGATAAATGATCTGGATTAATATCAGTACATTAATATGAAGTAAAAAGTCTCATTAGATAAAAGAGAAAAAGAAGCTACCAAAGATGGCCAGTTATATCTTTTTCCTGTTGTTTTGGTTGAAAGAATACAAGCTTCAATAGACTAGTGATGTTGAAGATTCCTGTATGTCATGCACTTTGTAATCTACAGGTGGAAAATGCTCACAGCAAGCTGAACTCAGTGGGGAGAACATCAACATCACTTTTAAGCCGGATGGGTCTCACATCGCAGTTGGCAACAGGGTAGATCTAACAATTCCAATCACTTAGTCCTCCTTTAGTCGTTTCCTGTTATTTATCTTTTGCATTGATATTCCATTTGGGATCTTGAATTTTCATTTTTTAATCAACTGTTTTCATTATTTTGGCATTGGTGGCTCTCAACAATGTATATCTTATTATCTATTTTAAGCAAATATGTGACTATCTTTCTTGTTTTCTCTGCATGCTGTAGGATGATGAATTAACAATATTGGATGTCCGCAAATTTAAGGCCTTGCATAAACGCAAGTTCAACTATGAGGTAATATCATGTTCAGACTAATGCTTGTGCACTCTCAATTATTTATTGACTGAAAAGGTTTAGCTGAATCATATCAAATACAATTTCCAAGCCCCAGGGTGTGTCCACAAAAGGGTCAAAATGAATGAAATAGAAGCCCCGATTTCTTACCAGGGAAATGCTGCGCTTTTCAGCACCTTTGGCAGACCTCAAAAATAAGTCCCTCCTTTCTATGACTATTGGTGTCCATCCTTGTTATGCATTGTTGAACTATCTTTTTCACTTTTTATTTATTTTTCACTCATTAATATACACTTACTTCAACTTATTCCTCTGCTACATTATCAGGTAAATGAGATCGCGTGGAACGTGACAGGAGACATGTTCTTTCTTACTACTGGGAACGGTTAGGACAAATTACTAAACAGCAACCGTAATCTGAAAATCCTGCAAAGGAGGATCCATGTGTTGGTACAAGTCTATTGTGCTGTTTACATATTGTTGACAATGTGACTTTTCTGTCCATTTTCCATAGGTACTGTGGAAGTACTTGCATATCCATCTCTTCAAGCAGTCAACACCCTCATGGCTCATACAGCTGGTTGCTATTGTATTGCTATTGACCCATTGGGAAGGTGTGTCTCAAACCTATTGAATATGTTTTCTTATCCAAAATGTCGAAGACTGAGCGTCAGATAGATTCACAGTATAGGTTATTCCCCTCCTATTAAAATTCAATCTAAATTATATTGAAGGGGATAATTTATGATAGTTGAATCTATTAACTTGATAGACATGTTAATCTTCCACAGATATTTTGCTGTTGGAAGTGCTGATTCTTTAGTCAGCCTTTGGAATATAAAAGAGATGCTCTGTGTTCGTACATTCACAAAGCTCGAGTAAGTCTCTAGAGAACCATTCTCGTGCCCTTTTAACGCTTGTAAAATTAGAAAGAACAAAAGGTGCACGTCAACAAAATTATTTAAAGAAGGATATATGTAGGAATATTTTGGTGTAGAATTTGTATATTCTTGGAGAGTCTATCACGTTTCTGACATTATTTGAGGAGAGAATAATCTCTCTTCTATCTTATTATCAGATGGCCTGTTCGGACGGTAAGTTTTAATCATACCGGAGAATATATTGCTTCTGCCAGTGAGGACTTGTTCATTGATATTGTAAGTACTCCTTGAACTTCGGATATTGTCTTTTTCCTGCTTTAGAACGTTCACGTCACCTAGCTGCTTGTCTATCTTGAGATGATTTTACTTGGCAAAAGTATAGGCATGTCAAACCCTTGCACGTATATCAGGAATTAGCTTTTTTCATATTGATAATGGTGCTCTTTGCAACAGTCCAATGTTCAAACAGGACGATCAGTTCACCAAATTCCATGTCGAGCTGCCATGAACAGTGTGGAATGGAACCCGAAGTACAACTTACTTGCATATGCTGGCGATGATAAAAACAAATATCAAGCTGATGAAGGTACGTACAGTGGTGTAAAACTGGTTGGGAAGGTACATTTTTTTATATGGACTCATGCGGGCTTCCTGAAGGCATGGCTGTACGAGCTTGGCCACCTGGGCCTTGCTTTTTTAATTTTTTGGTTTTTAGTTATTTTTCTAAAGTAAATAGAAAAATAAAGCAGCCCCGCATAGTCCAGCAAGGGGCTTTAGGAATGCAGCTTCTTGCTCTATATTTTGGACCCAGGTGGTGGAAAAGTTGATGTCATTTCATCTGTTGTTGTTTACACTTTCAACTTGCTTCCCTTTTTTACATTGCAGGCGTTTTCCGAATATTTGGGTTTGAAAGTGCATAGCACAACTATGCATGGGCAAAATTTGCTAGGTTGCTTGCCTGGAGGTGCTATTATTGTGGCAGCCATGATATATTGTGTGTTTTTTAAGGTTGGAAGTGGGTGTGATTTCAAATTTGATATCTAGCTAAGTTGGTTAAAAGACATTAGCCTAGTCTTTTGTCTTCAATTTGGAGCTGGGGGAGATTGTCTGCATTTTCTGATGGTGTTTATTAATCGACCAGATCGAACTATTGTCTTGTAATATTAGTTTTACAAATTTTGAAGTACTATTAAGATGTTTGCATTAGGATATCTGCCACATAGGGCAAGTTAATACGTTGAGTAATATACTCTCTGCTTGATCGCTCTTCGTTTACCTTTTTTTCTTGTTGATAAACCAAATCTATAGTATGTGATATTTTCCATGATGATTTATGTTATTTTTCACTTTTGCAACCATGTTATGCAAATAATATGCATGTCAATGAAGCCTAAATTACCCGTTGCCAAGCCAAAAGCTAAAGGGCTTGCCAGATAGAAGACGTATGCATGTACATTTCAAGAAATTGATTGTGATAAGATAGATTTGTTTAGCTTCCAAGAAATCCGAGGATGCCTATAATGATAAGAATCATGCCACATTACAATCTTTGTTGACAATATTAGTTGACAACATCCTACTTGGCAGCATTGCATTTATCCATTTTAAAAACCGTTTTTTACTTTAATGACTCGGATTTTGATAACACGTGATTGTCAACCATATTTGTACAAGTAGCTTTATTGTAATGATAATTGCATAAACTATGCTCTGGATAATAGCGGAAAGTAGTAGCCCGGAAGGAGACATTCCTCGAAGTGAAGTCTGTGAAGGAGTCGTACAAACATTCTGATCCTGAATCTATGCTTATTTACTATCAGAGTCCTGTCCAGCATCAAATATTAAATCTTGTAATCTCTCTTAAATGGCGGGATTGATCAGATCATCTGATGGTACATCCCATAAAACACATTCTGAATTAAAAATGATGGAACTGTCTCGTGTTTCTTTTCTACCTCCTGAGTCTTTACCATTTTCATCCTCGAGTTTCTCGTGCAAGCGGCCTTGCTGGTCTCTTGCTGTGCATGTGCTTCCTGTACACATACTTTGACTCCATGGAGATCCATTACCAGGCGACGTGAGGCAATAGTGAAATCCAGAGTCTGATGCTGGAAAAGAATTGAACGACGTGAGGCCATAGTGAAAACCAGAGTCTGATGCTGGAAAAGAATTGAACGTTCCTGAAAAATTTGTAGACATTGCTCCAGTGTAGTCCCACGGCTTGTTTATAGGTAGCATGTCGGATTCTTTTATGGCCTCGGTCTTCTCAATTATCACATCTTTATCCTCGTGTTTAACACAAGTGGATGTGTTTACAGGAGCTTCCGGGGAATATTGTTGCAGCTGAAAGTGGAGCATTTCATCCTTGAAGCACCCGAGAGCGGCTTCAGCTAAATGTGGGACTTGTTGGGATGAAAGGGTGGTGACTATTTCATTTATAAGGTGGGTGAACGGCTTGTGAGTAACTGGATCAATTCCCATTCGTGAAAGCTTTTTCTTCAGCTTGGTGTTCCAGTGATTTTTAACATCATTGTCTGTGCGTCCTGGCAACTGAGCAGCAATAACGGACCATCTGTTACAGACAATCAGTTAAGCAATCAACAATTAGAAATTTTGGATGAATATGGAAGTCCCTCCCATATTCTCATTTGAGAAATGTCAAGAAAAAAACTGTTTTTACACTCATGTATGTTTGATACCGGTTTCCAAGAACTGAATGAAGCGTGACGATAGTCTGTTCTTCTGCCTCTGTGAATTCGCCGTGTTTAAGATCGGGACGAAGGTAGTTCGCCCATCGTAGTCTACAGCTTTTGCCGCACCTCTGAAGACCTGAAATGAATTAATGTCATGAATCAGCACACGAGCCTATTGAAGAATTGTTGGCATGTTAGATATGCACTCTTAATCCTGTCTAATGCTGTCAGTCGAGCATACAGAACATGCCAACAATGTCACCATTGAATGTAATAATGGAAAGGTATACAGGGTTTGGAAAAGACCGGCATGCTTGGGGATGAGGCGCCAGTTACGAATCCCATGTTGAGCGATATAGGACGAAAGCTTTTGATCTTCTTCGGGAGTCCATTGACCCCTTTTCACATTCTCCTTCTCACAGCAAGGAATTCGTCCCATTATATAACTCAGCAGAGGAGACAGATGCTTCGAATGGAAAGTTGAGTTACAGTTGACAGATAGTTTATGGCTAAAAAATGGAAGAGGGAGTTCTACTAGAATTTTATACGAAAGGTCTGCAAAATGTGTGAAATTATTTCATTTCATTGGTGTTCATGTACAATAATACAAGAATTGTTATATAGGAGATGATAAGAAAAATTGGCATCGAAGGTGCATGATTTCGTTAAAGAATTCAACGCCGTTCACCGTGTGAAAACATGGGCAGGTAGCTCACCCAAAAGAAGCCAGTCAACTCTCTCTCTCTCTCTCTCTCTGTGGTTGACTGCTGCAATTTGGTGGATTATTGAAAACATCGCAATATGTTTATTCGCTCTAAATATACATTGCATTACATTTCCAGTCACAAAATCCATCTTCAATGCTAGGAAAACAGTTAACTCTCGGCCACCACAATATGTTTATTCGCTCGGCCGCTGGCTAAGGTTATTGAGCGAAGGAGGAGGGTGTACGAGGTTCTCAGAGTCAACCAGAAAGCTTCCCAAATGGAGACGCTTGCCAAGTTGTACCCCCCAGACGCTTTCTCGAATTTAATTAAATTGTCATAGACGTCAATGGGAGATTTCATCGAATTTAATTAAATTTAATCATACACGCTATCGGAGCTGTGTATGATTCGAAGTTAACGTCGGGTCACCGAAGGTGGAAAACTGATCAGTGCTGGTGACGACGACGTTGTGAAAGTCGTGCAAATTCTATTCTCCCCGCTTCTTCCTTCTTCCGCCAGTGGAAATTATCAAGGGAAAACTGATTATTAATTTCCTTACATTTCACTATTTCAATTCGATGAACTCGACCATCACGGACCATGCATAACTTAGTGCGATTATTGATTATAATCGCTCATATTAGGCTTTCGGCTGCTATCTGGAATGAAATTTGGATTGGATTTTCTCTAACCAATTTTAATTTTTATCCAATTCATTTATGTGGATGATTGGCTTATTTATCTCTCAGGCCTCACATCAAGTAAAATTAAAATGGGCGACTGGAAATTAATAGTTCAAAATAAAATAAAAAGACTTAAATATGAAATATTTTACCTGTTACTCCTTTTCAAAGTACTAGATCTCAGGGCTGTAAGCAAAAATCGTCAAATCGAACCGAAATTATATTTTAGAAACTGCCGGTTTGGTTTAAATTTGAGAATTTTAATTGCGGTTTAAAACTAAATCGGACCAGCGAAAAAATATAAAAAAATGAGAAATTCTGAAAAATTCAAATATGTAAAATTCAATAGTTTGTCATGTGTGGGTATTTTTGTCAATTTCTGATTTTCTATTACATAACTATTATTATTACCCAATAATCCTAATTTATATCTAATAATCTAAAGACTAACCTAATATATCAAAAGCCCTTTTCCTCTTCAGAATTCAGANTATATCTAATAATCTCAAGACTAATATAATATATAAAAAACCATTTTCCTCTTCAAAATTAAGATGAACTTCAACCGACACCCGACACAGACTTGAGCCACCAACACCATACCAAATCGGAGACAGAGATTCTAGGTCTTCGGTGATAATATTTGCTATAAATAAAGTTTCAGATCAATAATTTTTTCAAGCAAGCTGAGGTAAGAAATCTGAAATTATATGGGTTTCGCATTTCTCTCAACTATTGGATGATTGTGAAATAAATTTATTCACTTTAATAGAACGGGTTTATCCACTATGTACATGATTATTTTCTATTTATGTGGACATACTCTTGTTTTGTGACTGAATTAGGCATGATAAAATATGTCAATAGAAGCTAAAAAGTGTTCAGGTGCAATTTGATATGTGAATGAGTTGTTTAATAAGTTAAAAGAAACCAAAAATGACTCCAATGCAACTATACTTGCATCAATTTAATTGTGTTTTATTGTATGCTTAGATATTTTGTTAAATTGTTTTTTTAAGTGTTTTGAATTAATAAGGACGACATCTATTCAGTTAACCTATTAACGTCCTGGATTTTGATCCAGTAGGCTTAAAATTTATCATTTAAGGTGTTGTCTTATTGATAACGTTATCGTAATGTCTTAGCTTAAAAATGGTGAACAAAAAACTATTATTATGATTTCACTTGAATTTAGTTGGTATTTAAATTTATAGTAGATATATTTATTTGTTTTAGAATTATTGTTAGTAAAATATAAATATATATTGAATTCAATGAATTAATGACATAAAAGTAAATAGATAAAAAAATATACGACGAAACCGACGGTTTAAAATCGGACCAAACCGTTAGGTTTAGATTTGAGTTTTTTTCAAATCATTCAAAATGGTTTGGTTTAAGTTTGAGTTTTTCTCAAATCGATTTATACGGTTTGGTTTGGTTTGGTTAGTTTGAAAATCTGTTAAAATCGGCAAAACCGGACCGCTTACAAGTAGATCTCAAAATGCTCATAACAGCCAATACAATCCGTTTCTCATTTTCAAGATTATTTTCAAACGAGATAATATCTTGTAGAAATTTGTTTAAAAAATATAAAAGCAACGATCAACGTAATAAAAGGATCCACATTTTCTTTTACTGATCAAAAACTTGTTATGCACACAAATTTTACGAATAGATTTTGGTTAAATTTGAATTGTCGTCTTTGTTGACTACAATATCACGTCAAACTATTTCTTCTAAAATCTTAAACAATTTTTTTAAAATTATTATTTAAATTTATTATTGACCACAAATACAATAATTTAAGACACAATATCAATATATATATTTTTTAAAATGAAAATGACGTTTTGGTAGAAAATAGGTTCCAGATACACGTGTAGAATATTAAGATTACAGATTTCAGTCAAATTACGACACTCAAAATGCAAATAGATTTCTTTGCCCTGACTGCACAAAACTTGAACCAAGATAAGAAGATCAAAGTACTATTTTTACTTTCATCATTTTTTTATTCGCAAAAATGTCATTTTTAGGCAAAATTTAATCAAAAAATAATTAGACATTGTGATGTAACAGTTCACAAATATCAGCAACGTTATCTTGTACTTCTCGACAATAATCAATTTCTCAAAAATAATGAAACCAGAACACCTTTAGTATCAAAAACGAAAAAGAACATAAAATCTTACACACCGTAATATTCATTGCAGTGTGGCGAACATGAACCAATAAACCAATTTGACAACAGAAAATTCGACTCCGGGGGCGGGATGTAGAGGGGAAACAGAATAAACGACAGCAAAAATAACATTCAACAGAACAGAAATTTTCTATTCTAGAATTATAGAAGACAAGTATACAAACAAAATTGATATCAACAGTAAATGTCCAAACAAATCCCATTATGAAATACCTATCGACTGCAAATTCTCCATATATTTAAACCCTCCCGGAAAGAAAGAGTAAGCTCCACATTAAGCGTCTGGTACCCTTGCCATTAATATGCCTAGAATTTTTGTACAAGCCTTCCAGTTTCAACATAACAAAAATATGAAGTATAAAATCGTATCATTTAGGGGTCATAAGCATGGAGTTGATAACATGCATGATCAGACGGATGTTCGAAAGTTCGGGACCTGTTGTGGTAGGGAGGTTCCGATGATGATTCAGTATTTGATAAACCTGCTCAAAGATAGGTTGGACATGCACCACAATCATTGGGTCAGTTGGATTTATGGCGGGCAGCACCTCGCACATCCAAGGTAGTTTCTTATGTGTTTCTTTGCTAATATCATAAGCTAAGTGCTGCAGAAGAGAAATGAGTACGCCTTGGCTCAGAGGGATGGGATTCATTGACAAAATTCCCTGTAGATCAACCTGGTACAAGACAAAACACGCTCGGAAATATTTCGACTCAAGAATCAAACACCAACTTTCGTGGTTGGACACATTTGTGGCAACAATCAACAACCAAATAGTATTTGAAAGGCACATGTTCCAAAGAGGAAAGCAACATCCAAGTGGAAACCAGCTAGGGACACAAATTATTGACTTTCCACCTAAAGGTTAAAAGAATCACAACAATAATTGATAAGTGGTGTGCTATGAAATCATAGTGTGTGACAAAAGGAACTGATTTTATTTTTTCATCAAAAGGCAAAGAGGAAGGGAACTAACTGAACTATTCTCCGCAAGTGTGAAAATTTAAATGAAGCTTATATAACCAAAAACCTACATGGTATTATCATGCTTCAGCCATGCAACCATTGGGTATAGACTATAGAATAACCTAAAGCAGACATTTCATTTTCTTAATATATATTATGGGCGTGAAAAAGAAAAGGTTCAGTTGGCATAACCCTAACAAACTCCAATTATTATTACCTGAATGCAAACTACAATGCATACAAGCATATATGAGTTGTGTTATTTAAAACATATAGCATACCTGAGAACACAACCACGATACAATAGAAACATCACTTCTTTGCAGGGCTGCAGTGAAAGCCTCCTCGTACTTGTGCTCAGCTACCAATCTTGATAGCTCTTTTGTTGGATCTGGAGGTACCTCAAGCTATTACAACAGTAAAATTGTGGTTCAGAATGCTTAGAAAGACAGTTCTGAAAGCTGCAAGGAAAATCATTCTTACAGTTCTAATTGCATATTACTACCTCCGTCCCATAAAGATGGGCTTGATTTCCTCTTTCGTCTATCACAAATTATAGACCACTTTCCTTATTAAAAGTATAGATGTATGTTAGTTTTCTAATATGCCCCTATTTTATATATCTTGTTATCAACAAATATAAACTAATCTTATTTAAACCATTGTTTAATGTAGGGGTGTATTAGAAAAATGTAATAAAAATTTATATTTCTAACTATATTAATTACATTTTCTTAATTTGTGTGAAAATGAAACAAGCTTATTTTTATGGGACGGAGGTACTATAAAACTGCCTTAACGAGTAAAAAAGAACCGGGCAAACCTTCTCATGCAGACCACCCAAAGGGCCATTACTCAGTTGGCTAATCAATGGATTTGTTGCTTTTGAGTTTGCTCCAGCAACAGCAAGAGCCAACAACTTTCTTTGACCATCAAGCAACTCGGTGCTTAGGGATTGAGTCACCGATGATGCTGAATTGATCGCATCCTAAAAGGTTTGGCTCATATTAGTGGAACATAAAGGTAGCAAAGTAATGCAAGCAGCTGAAATTGGGGGGAAAAAAAAAAACATGCTCAATCATTATCAACTGTGTAAGCGGGTGATGCGTCTAAAATTAGTAAAACAGACAACAAAAATCAGCCTCATATGATATCAAATTCTGTACCCTCAAAGCAAGTGCCATGGGTGAATATGACGACTCAATTTGTTTCTGAGCTACAGCTGTATGTTCAACCATTCCTTTCTGAAATGCAGCATCCAATTGCTCAAACATGGCCCTGCTTGAATTCTCAAACGCAGGGATCACAGAAGCTTCCAAACTGGACTTCAGAGTTTCCTGCATAACAAATTGAGAGTTTTGAACCAAAATTCTTAAAATTCATTTGGCAAGACAAACTATTATTCACGTCCAATTACCCTTCGTGTTTATAGACAGGGTGGGGGAGATGACGGGAAGAGAGTAGAGAATTGATATGTTATTGGGTAAAAATCGGTAGACAGACGCCAAATGAGATAGTAGTATCATCATGATTGAAATGGTAAAGAATCCAGATAGGGCAACCAACTGAAGGATTTCACCAATATTTATAAACTCCCAAAGAATTTAGGAAATTAAAATCAATAAGAGAAGGTTATGCGAAATTCTTTCGCCGAGGGATTGCTATAGGCACTAGCAAAATTATTCTTTCTAATTCAAATATGGAGTAAAAAATATAAAGCATCCTGCTCCATAGATGCACAGGTTGGAAATAAAAAAGTCAAGAAATAAGCTAAATTGAAAACACGGCAAAAAATTCCAAGTCAAGAGGACAAGTTTCATATTGGCAAATAGTGATTTGAAATCTTTCTACAATTACATGAAGAGCCAGTTTGACTGTCTTCCTCTTATTCTTACCTGAAGAGTTTGCTTGCCAGAAGTCTGAAATTGTGCTTGGATATGCCTAGCAACAGTAGCTTCAAGTTTAGAATTGACGGATTTCTCCAGCTGATTTACAGCTTTATCACCAACTCCTTTCTGATCACGAAAAATCAAATGAGATCTTGATGTCGGTTACATCTTAAAAGGACAGAATGAGAAAGTTCCAAATGTTAACCTGGAAGGTCTCCAAAATCGAGGTGGATACTGTTTTCTCAATAGAAGGAGTAATTGTGCGTGCCATAGCTTGTCCCACTGCAGTTAATTCTTTCTTAACAGCTTTCTCCAAAATTGCAGGCAAGTCCTTGTTTAAGCAATTGCTGACCATATTAGTTAGTTGCTGCGTACACTCCCGTGATGCCTTTTCCTGTTTTGCATTCTCCTCCTGAAAATGAGCCCATAAAGCATCAGCATTAGCCTTGAGAGCCTTCTCCATATTCCGTCCCAAGGCTGCTTCAAGTCTTCTGCCTTCTTTGGTAAGTGGGACAGCAACCATCGTTGTCGCCTGCTTTTGCATATCTTTTTGCATGGCTATAGCCTGCAGGGAAAAAAATGTGAGAGATGTGCAAGACAATATTCCTGCAGAGGGGTAGTGCACTCTTGATTGCCAGTAGTCATTGACCAATCTCGGACCAACAGAATAACATGAAAAAGTACTGGTATGCAAGAATGATACGCTGATTTGACAAGCAAGAAGTTACCCAGTAACCTAACGCATAAGTGAATATAACATATTTGAAATGCCCAACACGAAGTATGATATCTACACCAAGCGTTCGGCTTTCTGATTTCAATGTGTAATTGCCAATAACATAATAATCTGGGGGAAAAAGAAAATTTGACAAATATGCCCTCAGCAATTACCTGATTAAGCATCTCTTTCATAGACAAAATTTGTGGAAGTAAAGTTTCCATGGAAGGGTTACTTGAGTTGATGCCTGGTTCATTAGAAGAATCTGTTGAATTAAAAGCACTGGGTGATGGTGAAGATGGACCTCCTTGAGCACTTTTACCCTTTTGCTTTTTCCCTTTTGAATTTGGTGGCGGCGGTTGTTGAACTGGCGTAGCTGCTGATGAATCAATAGCCTTTCTATAGACTTCCTTTGCAGAGTCATGGATTTCTTCTGTGGTTGAAGATTGGGCCACTTCCTCATTTCCACTGGACTCATCAAACTGCCTAGCTTCCTCCATGTTACAAGTTTCAGGTAACAATCCACGAGAATCTCGAGCCATCTCCATTCCTAGGTCAGAGGCTTGAGAGCAAAAATATTTCTCCTTGTTTTCTGACACAAAATTGTGAAGTTCATCTTGACAGACAACATCGTTATCATGACTGAATCTTGTTTCGCCCACAACCTTGACCTCCACCTCAACATTTCTTGTATCGTTACTAATCACCACATCTTGAATGGTTAGTTCACCCTCATTTTTGGGCTCATTAGCATGGCTCGCTTCAGATGATGCATTGGCCATCAATATTTCAGATGGAGTTACCAGATGAGTGGGGTGTTTAAACTTAATAGGGTGATTAGTGGTCATAGAAATATCATCTTGAGAAAGTTTATTTTTGTCCTTCCTTGAATCATCATCCAGTGAAGGAACATCGGACAAGTTTGCATGTAAGGCATCCATTTGTCTATCAACCGAATAATCAACAACTTTAGGATCGGTACCGCGGTCTTTGACTGGAAGACCTGGTTCAAAGCTGCCGGACGGACTCCTAAAACCAGAGAGTTCTCTAGACAACCTGGGGCTCAAAGGAATTGGAGGTGATGCCATGTAAGCACTAGTTTTATCATCAGTTACCGCAGATGAAGGAATCTTTTTGGTTTCCATGCTCGAGGTAGCGAATTCCTGTAAGTTAGATGTTTCATTAGGAATCTCAATCGGTTTACTACCAGAAGACTCCATATTGGCAAGTCCTTCACTACCGGAAGCATCATATGAGATGCCAGAGTCTGACTTCTCAAAAACTACATTTTCTGATGGGGGTGGAAAGCACTGTGAAGAGTCCAATGCATACTGCTGAATAGCCTGGGTTTGGACACAATACACCTGAACAATCTGTTCACCGTGAGGCAGTAATTCAGTCGTCCCTGTAAAACTCAGTATTGGCATAGTGACAGTAAATTCTGCAATGTAATCCATGCGGGATGATGCTGGGTTAGGACCAAATTCTAAGTGCACAGCATATATAGCATTTCTTTGGGCATTTGCCAGTAAAAGAAGACCAGCTTGTGACAATGCTAAAATTTGATTGAAGAAAGCCTCTTCTACTCGAGCATCGGCTGAACTCTTCAATTCCAATGTCTGGGAACAGTGCCATGTTTCAGCGTCACTAGGAAGTAACCAACCTTCTTCACTTGCGGATGCCCATATCTTCAATTCCCGATTCAATGGACCCTGAACCCATCCTTTATAAGTTAAACACAGTGAAGGAAGCTCAGAAGCAAATGAATATGGACAAAAATAAAAATAAAAACAAATTGGATGCAAAAGGACAATTAGGACTTAAAGAAGTCCTCAAATGAGAGTTCAAACATATGAAGTGTCAAAAATATCCGAGGAAAGCAATGAAAGAAGGAAATTTTGACGGCAAGTACCCCTGTGATAAGAATGATATGGTCTGGGCGGTGAGGAGCAGCCAAGAATGTAACAGAATTAACTGGTTGGCCGTCATGTGGCCGGAGTTCTGCAATTGTGAGTGACTTCCTATCATCCCAAATCTTTATCTGCCAAAAAGTACATAAAAAGGATTTAAAACTAGATAACCAAATGATCCTAGTATGCTTCAAGAATTACAAATAATTTAAGAATGAACTCAGTAGTTTGTTGTCCAGCATTTCCAAATTAGAAGCATCTCAAACAGCAGAAATGTTTCATAAACACCACTGATGGAGGTGAGTGTTCTCCAAATTCATCCAATGACTACAAATCAAGGTGTCTACTATTCGGAAAAGGTAAGTTGGTAAAATGTATACATTTAGAATATTAAAATTTCTGGATCATGTGCAAATGAGAGCATATTGTTCCAATAACACAACAAAGGCACTTTGGTCAAGACGCCAAAAAAGTTGAAAAGGAAACATTAAGAAAACTAATAAATCTTAGTCAAAATATCCAAACAATATACTACATCTCAAGTAGTTGCTTCTTCATTTTATCATTGTATTCACATTTGATCCACATATTCGAGAAAAAATAGACATTAAAAGACCAACACAGCACATGAACCGATAAAAAGTAGAATAAGTCCGGCTTAGCATTGTGCATAATGAGAAATGCTATAGCAATAACAAAAGAAGAAGTATTATTCATTAGGGTAAATTATGGCAAGCGTCCTCAACCTTTATTCCTTTTGCATTTTTACCCTCAACCTTTTTTTCTTGACATTACTATCCTCAACCTTTCACAAATTAGTAGCTACCATCCCCGATAACATTTTCCGTCAGAAACTGCCATTTATTAACAATAGAAAGACAAACTTCCCCCCAGCTTTAAAACAAAAAAATAATTAAATAGAAAAAAAAAATCATCTTCCCAACAAATCCGGAAACCCCAGACGTCACCTGCCACCTTTTTCTCCACCACCCCCCAAACATCCCCATGTCACGGTCACCACCCATCTCAAATATTCCAAAGTTCAAACAAGAAAAGCATGACAACGGTTTATAGCCAACCTCCACCTGCCCCCCTTCGCCATCAAAATGTGGGAAACTGATTTCAACATCCTTCATCTGTTCGTGGATGGCAGCAAAACAACTTACGGCTCTGAGCTTGCTGCTGTTACTAATTTTGAAGGTTAAACTAAAGGAGGATTATTTGAATTAATTGGATATAGCGGCGCGCCAAAGATTCAGTTTGGTTTGGCCTTCCGTGTGCCACCACAAACTCCATCTAATCACAACTATCCAAACCAACATGCAAAATCGCCTTCCCTGCATGACTCCTACCAACATCTAAAATCAAAATTACAATCCATTTATCTAAAAGAAAGAATTTGACCAAATCCCCAAAATAACTTTTCCTGTTCCACCCAAATCCTATTTCCTAGTCTTCGACGAAAATGAAATTCCTTTTCACTTGGGCTTGGGGAAAGTATTTGCACCATTTGAATTAGAAATGTTTCCAAGTACTTTCTATTTGAATATTTATGAATGAAATTAAGATAATTATTGAAAAAAACTATACTCTTTAACTTCAAGTTGATCTGCTATGGTGGTGGGAACCAGAGCTTAGATCTTCAAGTTGACACCGGTGTAGGTTGGAGAGCTTCTGGGAAGAAGACGCTTCAATTTCTTTTCTAATTTCTTTTATGTTTTGTATTTAATTTTTGTTTATTTTAAAATTGAGGGTAATTTTGTCTGTGTAAGGTTACCTAACTGCGGGTTTAAACAGAAACTGTCATTGAGGATGGCAACTACTAATTCTTAAAAGGTTAGGGACATTATTGACAATAAACGAAGATTAAGGGTAGAAGTGTAAAAGGTGTAAAGGTAACAATAGCTGCAATTTACCCAATTCATTATGCCCAGGAAAAAGAAAGCTTCTGAATGAAGATGGTTTTGGTACATCAAAAAAAAAATAAGTTAGTTGACCAAATAGCACAACGAAGTCGGTCAATGAAACCAGAAGTACACATGAAACATAAGTGCATCTGTAGAAGGCTTATATGTAAGCCTTGATGCGTACAACCCCTTATAACCATTGTTAATTTAGATTAAGGATCTTGAAATCTGCCAGATTTGTCTCATGTTCCTTGTCAAATTGACAATCACGTTTTACATTAAATTTAGCTTGTGTTTGGCACCCATTTTGGAGAAGAATTTGATTTGGAATAATGATTGATGGAAGAATGTGTGGTTAAAAAGTAAGGAGAATTTTTGGGTTTATGTGTAATATTATTTTAATGATAGAATGCGTGGTAGAAATGAAGAAAGATAAAAAAAAATGAGAAAGAGTGAGAAAAGAATGGATGTTAAACAAGGGCTTAGATATCTATGAACTTCATCAACAAAGTTTCAGAAAAATTAGAAACCCACTTTCCTTATTGCTCGCACCCAAAGGAGGAGGGGATGTAAACCACCTTAAATCAGCTCTATTTATCTAACCAGTTCTTGATAACATAACTGTACCACATTTATGTCAGGAAAGATGTATAGATGTGTAGTTAATAAGAAAAAAACATGGCAGCTTTTATAGATTTGCTCCCCCTCAGCGGCTATCCAAAGAACTTGACATAAAACAAGCTTCAGAGACCATAGAGGAACAAAGTTATAACGAACCGTGCCATCCACTGAAGCAGATACCAAACGGGTGGTCATCCACTGGCACATCGACAGATCTGTCACTTCTCCATCATGGCTACCAACAAGTTGAATCCCATCAATTAACTTCTCAACAGGACATTTGAGAGGCTCTTCCGCTGAAAACACTCGACCTTTTCCAACTTTTATGGTATCAATCTTCAACACATGCTTTCCAATTCCCACTACAAGTACTTCCTGTGAGAGGGAATGAACAAAATGATTCAGTAATGTATGTTAATGAGATGATTCGCCTACCAAGGGAGAAATAGTAACACAGAAATACACTGAAAAAGCGAGTATCAGATTATAGTATACCTGTTTATGGCAGTGCCAACAAACTTTTGGATAAACAGATTCCCCAGCTCCGGTAATTTGAAGAGCGATAACAATCCTTCCAGTTATTTGAGGTTTGTCTTCTTCATCTGGACCTTCAATAATCTTCCATACATAAACCCGACCATCCATACTTGCACTACACGTAAGCAACATTAGAATCATCAAAGACAAACCAGAAGTTGAAATTTTAAAAAATAACTGATGAGAAAACTACCTGGCTAAGAGATGAACATCCTCAGCAAAGAAAGACATGTCTGTGACCCTCTGAAAGAGAACGCGTTATTTAAGCAATTACCACTCAATACAATAAAATTTACTGCAGAATATCACATCCCGTAAAAAGAAGTATACTAAACTCAGAAGATACGCATGCAGTTATCCTAATGAATTGGCAATACATAGCCACACATTTATGCTTAACGCTTGTAATTAAGATCCTTGAATACGAACTCCCTATCAACTATCAATTACCATAATAGCAGTAGCATAGCATATGAATTATTGTATATCAAAATTTATATGCAGTATGCACTGTCAAAAGCAAATGACAAACAGGAGTAAATTTTCAAAAAAAGAAAAAAAAATCTGATAGTTCGACGGTGAAACATTTAGCGAAATGATAAATTTCAAAACTACTTCTATAGGATTATCAGTTGTTATCAAGTATATGGCCCTAGCTATCTACATGGTATCCAGGAATTGGAAATAGATTACATTTTTCACCTCAATGAACCAAAAAATGAAGAAAATGTTGAACACCATTGTGTTGGAAGCTTAATATCATTATGTAGAAAGCCTCCAATAACATGATGTCCCTTTCAAAAACTATTGATGTCTAGAATCGTTTGACCAAAATACTGAGCTTTATGATCCACATCCAGATCTTAGTAAAACAAATCAATAGAGATTCCAACACATGCACACAATTACAATTTCAACAAAATAAGATCCACAATTGCAAATAAAACCAACCTGAGCTAGACCTTTAAGCAGTGATCTCAGAGCAGTGTTGATATTAAGAACCCGAATGGCACCCAACTTGAGCCCATAGCATATATACGACTTATTAACTGCAATTTGCCTGCCCAGAACGAGTCCCGGATCAGACCCGTATTTAGTGATGGGACTAACCTCAAGCTGAGGCTGCACCTCCCCGGGGAACCTAACATCTATGTCATAAACCAAATTATCCCCCATCAAATGCCGTCCGCTCGGGAGCTTACTGCTGGGCATTCTTATCACAGGGCCCGGATGCCAAATCCCAAGGTTTGGCCGGGAGGGCAGCACGGTTACATTCTGCGGCGACGAGAAATCAGAGCCAGCCGAAGATGTTGGATGGAGTTGGGAATTTGGCATGGTGGGTTGCTGCGGGATTTCCAACGTGGAAGGCGGGGCACTCAACAAGGCCATAAGCCGAGCCCCGGGGTTGGGGTTGCTAGTGTTCTGGGAACTTGGTGGGTTTTGAAAATTGTGATGAAGGGGACTAGTAGGGGTCTGGGGTTGGAAACTCGGTGTAGGATAAGACAATGACCTCTGAGCGTGCATATTAGCAAAATCCTGATTCGCCGGTGAATGATTTGGGAGATTATTGTACACGGGATGGTGGAAATCCGCAATTTGAGGCGGATATGAGTAGGGCACACCATTACCCACCGGTGGAGGATAAGAAGCTGACGGGGGCGGAAAAGGGGAAGTAATAAAATTAGGGTTACTGCTGGTATTATTATTAGGGTTTTGCAGATTGGGGTTTGAAGTAGAAATGAGTGGAGGAGTCGAAGTTCTGAATAATTTATTCATATCAAATTGACCTCCACCAGGTTGGTTTGGATTTGGATTTCCTGGTGAAGCCATTTCTAGCAATATTATCTGATGAAAACAATACAGATACAAACTATAATCCGTATTTGGCGCAGAAAGATCTTATTCTTGGTGGATTGAGAAATGGCTGGTGTGTGTGTGTGTGTGTGATGGTGTCTGTATAGGTTGTATGTATATATAGCAGGGGGTGGGTTGGAGTGGGGTACTAGGTGTTTCAGTGAACGAGCAGGCGAAGAAGAAACAATTGACGGACCAAACTGAGAAAAGACGGCTGCAAAATCAATTATTTTTTTAGGAAAGTGTGGGCTTGATTAGAAATTGTCACCGTCTTTATATGTATATCCATTTTTAAAATAATAATTTTATTATATTTTAAATCTTTTGTAAATTAGCGTAAATGTACATATATAAAATTAAATAAAATATATCGTTCTAAATTTATCTACTAATATTTATTTTTATTAATATCTTTTTGACCTTTTTATATTATTTGTGTTTTGACTAAAATCCTGATAATCATAAAAGCACCGATCATTAATTACGTGCTTCAGTTCTGTATCAAATTTGACATGGCATAAACTAGCTGCAACGGCTAAGAAGCGAAGTAAAGCAGGACCAAGGAGCAAAACATGAACAGAGGAAAAGGAGAAAAGAATTGATAAATAGAGAAGGGAGGTAACTACATTGGAGGACAGAGATAAAAATGGGAATATATGGAAAAGCAAAAACAGATGATTGAAAGAACTGTTACTTTTCCTTAATTCATATATAAAATATATAAAATTTGTGTAGATTTATAGTGTTTAAATGAATTTAATAAGGACAATATTGGAATGTGACGTGGATGAAAATAATAATTTTAAATTTTTTTTATATTTTAATATGGATGGATATAGAGTGTAACGGATGTATAATAATCGTAGATGTAAATATCAGCTCCGTTTTGTCAATTGTTATTGGGTAAAACTTACTAGAGATTACTTGACTTTGAGAAAAGTTTCATTTTAGTCATCTAATTTTCTTAGTTCTAAACCGATTCTTAAGCCCTTGTTTGAGCTCCAATTTTAGAAAGAAAAAAAAAGAATTTTAGAAAAACATATTTTAGATAATGTATAATTGAAAATGAGTAATGAAAAAATGAATTTTTGATAAAATGGGGCTCAAGGACTAAAATTTTAATTCGAGTTGATCGACGATATTGATTACATCACAAAAGGTACCATTATTTTTAAATTGCAAATTATATTTATGCAAACTCATGTCTTTCAACTTATTATCAATCGACAATCAATGCCTATTTCTCAGCTGAACGAGGAGTCAAACGTTTCTAGATAGAGTTGGATAAATTGTGTCACAATACACATGTCCACGATAAAATTTGTATTTCAATAACACACCTTGTTATAAGTATTATGCTAGTTGTACATTATTTGTGTACATTTTGGATGACATTTGAATATGTAACAAAATCGAGGTCATTGATTATTTTAAGTGTTGGACAAATCAATCAATGGTAAAATTGCGTGCTACATAGTAGAATGTCGACTAGAATATAAGTGTAGCAAAATTGTTGTTATAATAGTGCAATGTTATGTCATTGTCTGGCCCACACGCCAAACTAACGTCGAGAGAAATCTATATGAAATTTTACATATTACAAGTAGGAAAATATGGCAAATTTTGTGATATTTTCACTAAATTGAAATAAAATAGAAACAACGTTGACTGTTTTGGAATAAAGAATGTCAAATTACTAAAATAAAACATAATTGACCATAAGGGTGTGTTTGATTGATATGAAAAATGTCTCGTATAAAAGAAATGTTCTCCTTGTTTTGAGGAAGACATAAACTTACTTTAAAAAAAAAAAATTTTCCTCGAAAATAAAGAAATTTAGATATAGCCCCCGTTTGGCACATATTTTTGAAAAAAGAATGCATTTTTACTGTTAATGTGATGAGAAATATGTGGTTGAAAAAGAAGGAAATGTTATTGATATGATAGAAAATATTATTTTATTAAAGAATGTGTGGTTAAAAATGAGTAGAAAATGAAAAAAATAATGTAACTCAAACAAGACCATATTTTCAAATGTTGAAAAATATTTTTCATGAAAAAAATAGCAATTAAACGCTCCAAAAGTTGAAATTTAAGTGAAAATGCTTATTTTTCATGGAAAAGTTTTCAATCAAACACACCCCCCCATTGTTTTCTACATGGTACATACATCAACTAGAGATGGGTACGAAAGCAGGGCCTGCCCTAGGACCAAGCCACCTAGGCAACGGCCTAGGGCCTTACAATTCTGATGGGATCCTAAGAAAAGGGGTGAATTATTTTTTTCTGATTTGGTTACTATAAATCGAATATTTGTCTTCATCTTTTCTATTGCTTTCAATGAACTCGCCTAGAATCTATATTTTGTGTTCGTCTTTCTAACGTAAATGTTGTGTCTCCATATAATTATTCTCTAAAGCCAACTACAAATGAAGAAATAAAGACAAACAGAGAGAGGTGAATGTGGACCATGGTTCCCGTTGAACATATTTAGGCCCTGTTTGGTGTGACTTTATTTTGGATTAAAAGCAAAAATGAATCCGTTGGAAAAGGTCAAAGGCTCCCACACAAGAAAGAATTGGTCAAAAAACTCATGCTCAATGAGCAAAAAATGAGTTTTTTTTCCTGCAAAAATCTTACCCAAACAGGGCCTTAAGTTGTAAGTTAATCGATAACTATTAGATACATGGGGTTAATTTATTTAGCACACCTTTACTTTGTCAAAATGGAGAAAATTCGGTTGAGGACCCAAGAGACAAGGAAAAGAAGAGAGAAGAAAAGGGAAGGTTTTTTAGATCTAGAAATTTTGCTTGGAGCTCTTCACTTTCACTTGGTTGTCTGATATCTTGAAATCTCTTTACTTGCAGGGGTATGAGTGAAAATGTTAAATGAATCATTAAGATAAGCATCAATATGTCAAAAACTTATGGAATGTTATGAGAATTATGCTACATGTACAATATTGGTTGACAATGTTGAATGACAACATCCTATTTGGCATCATCATATCTATCCATTTTAAGAAACTGTTTTTTACATCACATTGCAGGATTTTGACAATATAAGGTTGTCAACTATTGTTAACAACCAATGTTGTACATTTAGATTTATCCATATTATGAAGGATGGTTAATTATGATGCGTGTAACCTAGGCAAAGTTGCCTTTCATTTTCCATGAACATGCGGCTTTGGTGGAACTTGAAAAAATTAGCTATTATTTTCTATTGAAACAAATATGTTGAAAAAAAACTGGAATTGAATTGCATGGATTATTAATTTTGCATCTCAAAATGTGAGAAGACTAAGGATGTGTTCGGTCGTGTTTAAAATTCAATTAAAATGAAAAATATAGTTGTTATTGGGCCTCGCTCGTCTAATAAACGTCAACAATAACGGCTAGTTTTTCGATTTTAATCTCTACCGAACAAGCCATAAATATGATGTTAGCCTAATCTCTCGGGATGTGAATGATGTTTTATTTTGCAATTTTATCTTTTAGATTATACAAAACTTTCATTTAAATGTAGATATATATATTGAATATCGCTATACATGTAAAAAAATAAGAAGGGCAAATATGAATCCAGTTAGTGGAAATTACACCCAATACAGTAAATTAGATAAATATTCATCTTTTACATTATGGCTTTTTATATTCCCAGAATACTACAATATCTCACTAATCAACAAATATCATCACTCATCTCACTAATCAAATTAAATGCTAAAATCCCTCCAGCAGATATGTCACCCACCCCCAATCATGTCAAAAATTTCCAATTTACCTATTCTTCTTTACCGTAAAGAGTAACAAAACCTCATGAATTGGATCCAATAAATCATCTTCCAATTCCAGATCGGTCTTCATCATATCTCGTATAATTCAGATGTGAATTATTCCCCACAAACGAGTTAGTTACAGATAACTGTATCTTCTTGAAACAGCTACAATCACATTATAATTCTTTAAAATGGAACATACAATTGCCTATGCTAATTACATTTTTTACTAGTCAGAATTGAGAGTTTTTCAAAATCACAACCCAACTTTGTTTCAAAAATCATCAATGCAAGACTACATCACACATGATACTTATAATATAGCGAAGAAGGAACTCGAACGGATTGCCGAATGATTCTCCATAAAACCATTGTTGATGTTATCCTATCGTACAAGCTCGATTTGAATTTGAATTTCCACACATTTCATATTCAATTAATTACACCCGTTTTAATTGTGGTCAAATATTTCAGTTACAGATGAAAATAAGGAAAGTTTTGCTGCAGTAATTTTGGTATTTTTATTGGTAATCATAGACAGAGCCGATGAAGGACAACTTTTTTTTTTTCCTTGTACTTGACTAATATATAAAAAAATTGATTGATGTTACACGTACATAATACGGTGTCCATAATGCAGTCCACCCCCTCACATGGTAGGAGACCCACTTTGATTAAAATATAATATATGCAAAATGAGTTCCACTCCATGTGAGGAGGTGGATGTCGTTATGGACACCGCATTATGTACAAGTAGTATATTCCAAAAAAATTACATATGAAAAACATAAATGGACTTGGAACTAAGGTTGTCCCCTTTTTCCGCCCCCTGGTGATGATCATCATTGTCACGCTTTGTCATTAGTCATATTTGCTGCTAGGATGTTTAATGCGAGCAATAATGATCGTGTCAACGAGGTTTGAATTGAAAATTTCAACATCCATCATTTATTAAGCCTGTGTTTGGTCTAAATTAAAATCTAATAAATTTTCAAATCAAAATTAACAATTAAATTTAACTATGTATTTAACGAGACTTTAACTTTTTAACCATATATTTCATCAATTTTTATCAAAAGTTAATTTTAATCTATACCGAATAGATATTAACGTGGCTAATAAAAATAGCAAGTCGTGTTATCAAACAAACACTTTAATTTGAATTCAAAATTTTCCATTTTTCTTTTGTTAGTTT